TTTTGATCTGTTCCATTTCCACAGTTGCACCTTAAAAAAAAGTGTTGAGGTTTGTTTTTGTTTTTTAAAAAAAGCTGAATTATGGCCAGTTCATATTCTCCAATTTGAACCATTTGGCATATTCACCAGTGAAGTATAGTGCTTAGTGTTGGACTGAGGCCCAGGAGACCTGTGCTCAGTCCCTAGCCAGGTGAATTGTCAGTCTGTTAGCCTGAGCTAGCTCAAGAGCTATTGTTAGAATAAGGTGGGTAGGAGAAAATACATATACAGTGGTGCCTCGCATAGCGAGGTTAATCCGTTCCGGATTAACCTTCGCTATAGCGAAACATCGCTAAACGGAATAAAAAAAGCCATAGAAATGCATTGAACTTTGTTCAATGCGTTCCTATGGCTTGAAAAGTCACCGTTAAGCGATGTTTCTTCATAGCGCCGCCATTTTCACGCCCTCGGTAAGCGAGGGCAGGGCGCGAAAATGTGGCGCGGACCTTCCGGCGGCCATTTTGGAACCGCCGATCAGCTGTTCTCCCTGGCTTCGTTGTGCGAAAATCGCTAAGCGAATCGCTTAGTGATCATCGCACAGCGAAAAAAACCAATAGGGGCCATCGCTGAGCGAATGCTCCAGCGATAGCCCAGAGTGCCTCGTTAAGCGATTTCATCGCTCAGCGAGGCACTCGTTAAGCAAGGCACCACTGTATTCTGGGGAGAAAATACATATATTCTGCCTTGAGTTCAGAGTAAGAGAGGTAGGATATAAATGCAACAAATAAAATAAGTAATAATGGATAGTATTTACTTAATTTATTCTACTTTACCTATTCAAAAAAAAGCAATGAACTGCAACATCTGACCAGTTGAGATGAAGATCTGTTTTAACATTCAGCACTTACTTCAGGTTTTTAATTTCATGTGCATTGCTTTTCTTTGCAACCTTGAGGAACACGCACTTCATTTCTAAAACTAGGAAAAGAAAGAAATTTGGGGTTGTCAGAATGCTGAATTTCAATATCAAATTCGGAGTTTGCACAGTGTGATTATGGAATTGGTATATGGACTCAACCTAGTTAAAGGTTGTTGTTGTTGTTTAGTCATTTAGTCGTGTCCGACCCCATAGACAAGAGCACGCCAGTCCCTCCTGTCTTCCACTGACTCCAGGTGCTGG